CCCCCCCCCTCTCCCCACACCCATCTTAATCCTTTTCCTTTTACAGATGTCAATCCCTGTAGGCATGTATCCTGTACACTAAGTGGAAAAGATAGTAGCTTGTAAAGAACTGATTGTGGTTCAAACTATATTGATGGTAGGGTTGCCTCATGTTGTGCACATTCTTCGCAGTTGATGATTGTTTTCTATTGTATTTTCATTGGGATTGTGATTTCAAGTTCTAGTGATGATTAAAAATATACTCAATAAGCTCCCACGGAAACAAGGGAAGTTGGTAGAAAATCGTGATGGAAGATCCTCTACTTTCTCTTCGAATGTTTCAACTGCTTCGAGAAACAATAATACCCCAGGTTCCCGGTCAGGCAATTCAAATGCTGGATCTCATTCAGGGATCAATTCAACTTTGAATTCCAGCGTAAATCATGGAAATAAACTTCCCCACATTTTAAATATGAAGGAGAATGGGAATACAGGAGTTTTACCTTATGAATTGCTGCCCAGTTTTAAAGATGTCCCAAATGTGGAGAAGCAAAACTTGTTAATCGAAAAGCTGAATTTGTGTTGTGTGGTATTTGACTTCACTGACCCAACAAAGAATTTGAAAGAAAAAGACATCAAACGGCAAACCTTAGAGGATATTGTTGACTACATCACTTCCGCAAAAGGGAAATTCCCAGAAACTGTTATGCAAGAGATAGTAAGAATGGTATCCATAAATTTGTTTCGGACACTCTATACACAGCCTCGTGAAAAGAAAGTCTTAGAAGCCTTCAATTTGGAAGAAGATGAACCCTTGATGGACCCTGCATGGTCCCACTTGCAAATCGTCCATGAATTCCTTCTCAGGTTTGTGGCTTCACCAGAGACTGATGCAAAGCTGGCTAAGCGGTATATAGATCACTTTTTTGTTCTGAGGTTATTAGATCTCTTTGATTCAGAAGATCCCAGAGAAAGGGAGTATCTGAAGACTGTTCTGCACCGTATATATGGAAAATTCATGGTGCACCGTCCATTCATTAGAAAAGCAATCAATAATATATTTTACCGTTTTATTTTCGAAACCGAGAAGCATAATGGAATTGCAGAACTATTAGAAATTTTGGGCAGTATTATAAATGGGTTTGCTTTGCCATTGAAAGAAGAGCACAAACTTTTCCTTGTTAGGGTGCTTATTCCGCTTCACAAACCAAAGTGTGTGCCCACCTACCATCAGCAACTATCTTATTGCATCACACTATTTGTGGAAAAGGACTGCAAACTTGCTGATACTGTCATAAGGGGCCTATTGAAATATTGGCCAATCACAAACAGTTCAAAGGAGGTTATGTTCTTAGGTGAACTGGAGGAAGTCTTGGAAGCAACTCAGCCTCCAGAGTTCCAGCGCTGTATGGTTCCTTTGTTCCGCCAGATTTGTCATTGCCTTTGCAGTTCACATTTTCAGGTTGGTTATGCTCCAACATTATCCCCCTACTCTTTTTTTTTTTTTCCAATCCGAATTCTTGAATTTGCATAAGATTGTTGTGGGTTTAGTGTGAGGACATTTTATAACACATCCTGTTATATTTCAGTTTTTATGGATTCACGTGGTTGATTCTAAATCACACTGCAAATTTTTTTTTTGATATCAAGTTTTTCTGGCCCAGAAGTGGTCCCCCAAACATTTGACTATTTTGACTTCCTGGAAATCTGTGTACATATATTACATAAGTTCGTCATTATTATTATTTCTGCCTACTTACTTTGGTTCCTTTATATACTGTTTTGGGCTTTCCCTTCTCTATATAGGAACTTGCCATTTTGTGCCACTGCGAGTCCTTACTAAGCACAACAGCAGCTGTGTAAAATATGTATAACATAAGCAAAGGAAGAAAATGAAACAATAAATGGAAAAGAGTGTAAGGGTGAAAATAAGTTTTAGCCCTTGTTTGATAAAATTTTGCTAAAATTTTACCAACTCTTCAACCAATCAAACTTCAATTTTAGCCACTCATCTTATGGGACCTACAAATTTTATCTACTTTTTTATCACACAAATTATCAACTTTAATAAAAATATGCTAAAACATTTTTTCTAAAATTTTATAACAACCCCTTATTTCCCATTTTTATTAATTTTTATACCTTGTACTGAACTTTCAATGATGTAGTCAGGTGGATGATTTAGACATGTAAATGTTTGCCTAGACAATGGACTAGACTATTGCCATAGGTCATCTAGGCATTTTGAAAACTTGCATAATGAAAAATGAAAAAGAGAAGGATATTATTAAAATCCATATCCCGACATTTTGGGCAGAAAATACTGCCACTTAATTGAATCCTACTTTTCAGAAAAGAAAGAAAATATAGGCCTTGTTTGATCCACATTCTTTCAAAAGCATACAATTTTAAATAGTGATTTGACATCATTTCAACCACACATTCTTTAATAAAATAATATTACACCTAAATTCAAAACTTTTCCTTATTTTTTGATCAAATATTTTCCATCAATATACTACTCAAAAATGCATTTTTATGAAAATAATGTGGCTCAAACAAGGGCATAATATCATTATATTCTGTTATCTGTGTATACCAACCACGGTAAGGTAACATTTTACAATGAGATACCCATTCCCACCCAAGTGTATGTGTCCAAAGTCTAAAGATTAGTTTAGGAACCTTCTTATACTCCTGAAAATGCTTCTCTTGGATTCTCTTGCTCTGATATATCAAAACACGTACTAGCAATGTGAGAAGGGAAAGAGGTACTTAATTTTTTGTTCTATTTCTGTGTCTTGCTCTTTTTAACCATTTCAGGTTCATTTCTTGAAAGGAAAAGTAGAATTCAAAGAATAAAAATATGTATTTTAGATTCAAATTTCAAAATCGTCAAGTCCTCATTTGAGAATTCTCCGGCGTGTGTGTGAGATTTGGGGTTCTTTTCTCATGTTATATGCATGTTGCATAAAATAAGGCCACTCATGTCTTTGCTGCTGGAGAAAGATATATCACCACACGATGTAGTTTAAATCTGGGGTTTGAGTTCAGTACTAAGTGTGTAATCTTTTGTGGAAGTTTGCATTTAAAAAGCATGGGTAAATGAAATATATAATGTTGTATTACTTAATCAACCTTATTGTAGCTTTGTGCGTATGAGGTAGTTCTTCCATGATCACATTGTCTAGATCTTGTTTCTTCAGGTGGCAGAGAGGGCTTTTTTTTTATGGAACAATGATCATATTGAGAATCTGATCAAACAAAATCGTGAAGTTATTTTGCCGATTATCTTCCCTGCCTTCGAGAAGAATGCAAGAAACCACTGGAATCAGGCAGTGAAGAGCTTGACACTAAATGTTCAGAAGATCTTCTCTGATACCGATCCCGAGCTCTTTGAGGAGTGCTTGCTTAAGTACCAAGAAGATGAAGCACAAGAAGAAGAAATCAAAATACAGCGTGAAGCCGCTTGGAAGCACTTAGAAGATATTGCTGCTGTGAAAGTTTCAATTAACAAACCTGTGCTCGTATCTCACAGGATAAGCACAAACCCATTGTCTGGCTAGAAACTGCGGGACCTATGATCGACTTATTACCATCTCGACCTGCTCATTGTAGTGCTGAGTCCTGCATAAGAATACATAGAGTGGGACTGGAGGTGCAACTATGAAACTGGAATTTGATAAAGGCTCACTAGCTCCTATTATTGAGCTTCTGGTTTTTGCCCATCAAGCGAACAGGGTGACGGTCACTGCTCCCAACCATGTTTGGATTTTGAGACAATGGTTGTACATATATAATTGGGTGACAAAGAACTGGAAGTTGAAGGTTTGCATTGCACTGTTACATCGAAGAAATTTGGTACTGATTTTGGCTTTTCTTGTTAGATCATAGAATAATATTGTTAAAATTAACATTTTTGCTGGACAACTTTGAGCTGGGTTTGCCTGGCATGAAATGGTATTTTAGAATCAATTTATGTATAGAGCATTTTTGACTGCTCTTAAAAGTAAATCAAACTTATTTTATGGGCGCGTTTTATACTAACTATGCAAAATACGAGAAAGCAGAGGCTTCTAATGTATTCATACTTATTTGTGTCGGTGCGAAATAAGAATTTATTTTTTTTGTGTATATTAATATTTGAGCTGAAGGTTACTTTGGTGTTGTACTGTCGAGGCATTTGCACAACTGGGTTATTTGATATGGGTTCTTTAGGGAAAGAGGAATCTGGTACTGTTAGAGATGGCAATGGGTTGAGTCAGTAAGTCTAGATGTCGAGCTGGTAAAGTAGGGTCAAGTCAAGCTGAGGCTCGGACTTGGCTTGTGCCCATTACCATGGCACATTTCGGCCCATAAGCTTCTGGGCCTAAGAGTTGAGCTGAGCGGGCACACGGACAGCTCATCATTCTCTTTAAATACATTTTGAAAATCCACATTTCTTTGGACTCAACCAACTACTTTTAAAGTAAACTATACTGGAATAGTTGTTACATGTATAGTTTTTGGAAAAAGGGAATTCTATTAAGGAAAATTAACGTGCACATTGACAAATTATTATGAACTAACATATCATTTATCTGGTAAGCTAGCATTTTGGCGTATTTTCCTTTAAACACATTAACCTGTGTATTGTCTTTTTTAAGTCTTGCTGTGTACTCAGAGAAACTTTGTCACATGCATTAAAAGTAGACTTTGATTCTATAGTATTTATCAGAGGTGTTAGTAGATCAATTGCTATAAAGGAAACAATTGGATAATGACGGCAGTTCGATCTCCAAAAATTTACTAAGGGTCCGTTTGACTGCAAAGATGGAATTGAATTGAACTGAAAACAAATTTTAGGGAATTGAATTGTCTAGAAAGTGTTTTCTTGGGAATTGTAAATTATTGTGTTGGATTGGTATAATTTTTCACGTTAAAAATGTTGAAATAAAAGTGTCTTTTGAGGTTCGTTTGGTTTTGTTTTACATAAAAATTGTCAATTAAAGAGATAGATTTTACTGGTATTGGAAATGAAATTTGTTTCTATTACAAAAAAATAAAAATAATAAATAATAATAATAATAATAATAATAATAATAATAATAAATAAATAAATAAATAAAAATAAAGAAAATTATCTATCATTTGGTGTTCGTTTGGTTTTGTTTTACATGGAAATTGCCAATTAAAGAGATGGAATTTATTACATAATTCTTAAAATTTGTTTCTATTGCAAAATAAGAAATAAAAAAAATACGTCAAGAAGTGGAATTTGCTTATGTGGCAACAAAAGATGGAAAAGGAATTTCATGCCAAATTTGTGCCATCAAACACATAAAATATGGAAAATGGACCATGGAAAATATAAGTCTATCAAACATGGCCTAAGTCTAAAATTTTTTCATCTATTGATCCTAAAATATTAAGCATATCGTGAATAAAATGTCTAGTTAATTCTAATAGTGTTCCATTACACTTATATTTGAAGCATTTCGGTTTAGAGAAGTACTAGCAGGTGTATTACTTCTACTAGTACTAATCACTATCAATTATAGTAACTAGGGGTCTTCGACATTGGAATCTGCATCGGCTTTTAGTAGACGACACATTATTTCTAGACATTGATACGAACGGCCGTCGAACATTCTTATCTGATTTTTGGGCGTACATCATATTTTACATAAACTAATCTCCATACTGCCATATGGAATTGGAGTTTTAAAATTAAGTGTATTTGGGATTCGGATTGAAATCACTTTTGCACCCTCTGAATTATACATAAAGTTCATTACATAAGCTAAAGGAACACCATAAGCAAATCCTCTCAATAATTCCTAAACTTATGTTCTGTTGCTACTATGATATCAGAAAAAATGGGTGATGTTGTATACTTCTCTAAATTTTTTAGCAATATGACAAGAGTGAGAACATAGTGGAATAATATGTGCACGATAACACATTTGTAGTGTCATTATTGACAAAAATCTGCTTTTTTCTGACAAAAAGTACAGTAATATACCCTTTGAGGACAATAAAATTTGCTTGAGAAGTGCTACAACAGTTAATCATAAAGAGACAATTGTCTCCCTGTTGGGAATCTGTGAAAGATTTTCTGTACATTCAGCGTTATTCAATTAGTTTTTGAATAAAAGTTGAAAAAAATTGCACATACAGGTGCCGTTTTCATAGGAGCCTTACAGGCCCCTTTGTTTGGGGCAGGGCTCCACATGTATTTTAAAAAAAATTGTGGCCTCCTCAAACCTATTTCTTGCTTGGCAAAGACCTAGGAAATAGGTCCTTGTACGTGTAGAATCTCTCATAAAAGTTTGTGTGGTTATCTCCTTGAAGGAATCTTGAATATTATCCTGACAGTTTTGTGTTAGGCAATTTGTTGTCAAACGACCTCCTCGAGCTATGATGTAATTATTGTTTTATTATCAATCGGCCTTGGCTATATGATTGATTAGTATATTGACACAATTATCGAGACAACATAATCCACATTCGTATAGACCGTTCGAAGCAACCTATTGTAAATAGTGTTGCTCACGATTCGCCCCATTTCCTTGAAAGGCTATATTATTAATTTGAAGCCCATTTAAATTGAGTTGAGCCTTGTTTTGGTCCACAATTTAACCCTAACCTAACTTACCTATTTTGGACATTTACTTGGCATATAATCCCGTCTCCCTCTAGGCCTCCATAGGTGTGCCCATTTTCTCTCTTTGTGAGACTTTCTTCTTGGCTTCTTACTTCACTTCACTGTGACCTTTGTGGTTAATCCTTAGTGGGCATATCATTGGACTTCATCTTCCTAACCTATAGCAACCGGAAGTAGGGCGGTTTTGGTGGTGGTTTTGGAGTTGTCTCAACCTTGGTGGTGTCGATGAAATTGGTAAACTGAGCCCGATTTTGTACTTGGAGTTTGCTGAAAATCATTCCTACATCTGGTATCAGAGCCAGAGTAACCTTTCCCGGCCAGAAAATCACCAAAAATCGGCAGTGGAGTCGCGATTTTGGTGAAAAATCGAACCTACAATCCCATGTTTCGGCCAAACTAGTGACTTTCCGGCGAAACCGATCCCATATTCAGAACCAGCAGGCTGAGGCGTCCCTTCGTGTGTGGCGCGTGGCGGCGGCGGTGCGTGGGACTCCGGCGGCGGCACGTGGCAGCGCGTGGCAGCGATTCCGAGTGAACTTCCTTCGAGCAGTTTGCTCATTTTAATCCCCTGAACGCACTGACACTGTTTATTTTCTGTTTCAGGTTACACAAAAAAAGTTAGACAATTTTGCCCTCAATGGATCGACGGTTGAAAATGCATATATCTACTGAATTACTTTAGGCCAAGATTGCGGCCCTAAAGCAGTAGATTCGCATCTCTCTCGATTATACGGATTCAGACACGTCCGCTCTAATAAATTGGCTTAACCCGTTAATTTTTAAGTATTAGCGCGTCACCGTGTGGAGTGACAATAGGTTGGGGGTTGTCATTGCTTGGCAACCATTGCTTGTGCTAGAATTAGGGTTACCTGCTCTTGATTAATCTTTTGATTGAATATTTATTTTTGGTTAAAATCAGTTTTGTAATTCTTAGTGATCTAATTACCGCGGGACTAGTTATCTGCTAGACGTATTTTTTGCTGCATTGTTATTTCTGCTGCTTACTTATTCCATTAGAAATACCGTGACCTTACCCGTTCTAACATTCCCTTGATCTAAGACCGCGAGTCTTACGAAACCCTGAAAATCTAGAAAGGTGTATACTGTCTGTGACCCTAGGACTACTTTGTGTGGTTTGATTGTGGTTTGTGCATTTTTTACTGTTGTGTAAAGATGACAACTCACAGTTTTGATTTGGGAATTTTTAATGGAAAAGGTGACTTTGCTATTTGGCAACAAAAAATGAAGGGTATTTTAATCCAACAGAAGGTTTTAAAAGCTATTGAAGGCAATTTTTCAACTGATTTTTCATAAGAACAAAGAGAAGAAGCCGATGAGCTTGCTTATACCTAAATTATTTTACACTTGTCTGACGCCGTTTTAAGAAAGGTAGGTAAACTGAAAACCACTAAAGAACTTTAGAAGAAATTAGAAGACTTGTATTTGCTTAAGTCTACACCGAATAAACTTTACCTGCTTGAACGTTTTTTTAGTTTCAAAATGAATTTTTCAAAGGATCTTGATGACAGTCTAGACGTGTTTAACAAATTGGTGTAAGATATAGTTAATTGTGATGAGATTGTGTCCGAAACTTATAAGGCTATAATTTTGCTCAATGCAATTTCTGATTTCTATAAGGAAGTTAAGAACGTCATTAAGTATGGTAGAGACACGTTAACACCTGAAATTGTCATAGATTCCCTTAGAAGTAAAGAAATGGAAATTAGGGTTGAAAAACATGATAAGAGGAACGGTGAGGTATATATGATGCGGGGTAGAACTCAATTTAGACAAAATAGTCATGAGGGATATCAAACTAGTGGCAAGTCAAGTGGTAATGGATGGAAAAAGAAGAGCAAAGGTAGGTCTAGATTAAAATCTAGGACTAAGGCGAGAAAATGCTATGGTTGTGGAAACACAGGGCATTTTATAAAAGATTGTCATAAGGAGAAGGGTAAGCTAAAGGTTAAGGAGAGAGATGAGGTAAATGTGTTAGCATCTACTTCCGATATAAATGGTGGTGAGGTCTACATGATTACAAGTCTAGTTGCATACACTGCTGAATTAAATCTAATTGCTAATTCCCGCATGCATGAGTGGATACTTGATTCTGGTGCATCTTTTCATTTGACGACTGAAAAGAATTGATTTTATAAGTTGCATGAATCTAACGTTGGGCATGTTGTACTGTGTGATAACTTTGCCTATACTATTGCTGGAATTGGTGACATAAACGTAAAATTTGACATAGGTTTTGTGTATACGTTAAAGGATGTTAGATATATTCCTGAGTTGTCTAGGAATCTGATTTCAGTAGGGAGACTTGAGAAGGATGACTTTACTGGTAAAATTGGAAATGGTATCCTAAAAATGATTGAGGGTGCTTTAGTTTCCATTAAGAGAATTAAGAAAAACGATATATATATATTACTACTGGAGAAGTG